TTTTATGAATTTCATTACATTTATAAGTTCTAATAATTATTTTATAAACATTTTTTTGAATTTTGCCTAGAGCATGAAAGTATTTGAAAAATATCAAGGTGTTTTAACTAGGATTGTGTACAGTATAATGGTTTATAAAAGTAATAAAAAGATTTATTGTTAGTTTTTAATAATAATTTAGTTCATTTATTGATTGCCAAATTTGAGAAAGTGAACTCCAAAGGTATTTAAGATCTTTAAGCTCCCCAATAATATCATCTAGGAGACTCTCTGCGTAATAGTCCATGTCAAGTACTTCTTTTGCACGACAAACCATGTCATATTCCTCCTTAATACGAGTGATACGGGCTTCGAAATTTGAGAGAACATATGTTGCAATGTTATATTTAAGTTCTCCTTGAATTGGTTTATTTTCGTCCCATTCAGAAACCATTTCATTAATTTTGTCCTCCACAAATTTGTCTTCGATAGTAATTTTTGATCTTAAATCATCTACAAATTTAAGTAAAAAGAGATATAAGACATTGCATTATATTTCAACCTTTTATATATAATGGATTAAAGGTAATTACCAATTTGTTCTTTTATCTGGTTGTTCCTTATGTTTAAGATTTCGTTAAAAGCACTCCATTCAGCTTCAAGCTGTTCAATAGACAGCCAGTCACTTGGAAAATAATACTGTTGACGTTCTAATGTTTTTTGATCTTCCTGGAATATCTCAATATCCTGACTCCACTTAGAAACTTTACTTTTGAGATCTTCTATAAAATTGATCAAAGCAACAGCTTCACTCGGACTATTGTTCTCCATGGATTTATTTTCAAGTTCCTTGCATGAATGTGAAATGCTAGAATGAAATTCTCGCATGGAATCACCTAGCTTTCTGCCAAATTTATAAAAAATATCGCGTTGCCATTGATTATATTTGGCATTGACTTTACTTTGTGCTTGTTCATAATCAACTACAATTAAACCAAATGAACCTTCGAAATCTGAATTATCAAATATAGTGCGTGGTTTCTTTATCTCTGAAAGAATTTGTTTCCATATTTTGAGGTTATCACCAAGTCGATCATAAATATTATTAGGCTCAAGATCCCATAATGGCTGAAATTGGTACCATTTGTTATTAACATAATCTGATACTTCTTTCAATTTTGTTTCAATTACTTCATATGCTTTCTCCAGTGAACCATCAAGAATTTTCGTCAATAGATTAGAATAAGTGGTTTCTCGAGAAGTGGGCCATCTGTCTTGTAAACATATTTCATAAAATGAAACTTGAATTCTTTGCAAGTTACACACCACCGCTATATTATTTAATAAATTAATATTTTAATAGCAATTGAGATAAACTTTAGCAAAAAAATCAGACTTACAAAGCCATTTGTGCAATTGATTATACCATCTAGCTCTAGCGTCCTCAATTGGTGGATCCAGATATATTACTTGATTACGGATACGTACTTCGTGAACAGATGGCTCAAGTACAGGTTTTTCAGCTTTTGTAATAGTTGATCTATCACCATCAATAGAATCATTCCTAAAAGTTCTAGAAACTTCACCAGATGACATAAACTCTGTTGTCCACAAAGATATGGCATATTGTAGTCGTTGTAATAAGATAGTTTCAATTCGTTTATCCAATTTAGCAACCCAAGCATCAAGGTTAGAATAGGCTTCAATATTAAGACTGCCAATCTAAAAAAAAAAAAAAAAAAGAATTTAATATGTTTTGATTAATAAAGAATTTAAAAGTTCATACCCAATTCACTCACCAATCTTTGAATTTTTTCTAAATTGGTATTAAATTTTTTCATCTGATAGGCGCAACTTTTTAAGTTTTCAATGAGGCGCGAAATTTCTTCATAATTAGTAATCAAAGCATCAACTTTATCTTGGAATATTGATACTATATTTGCAAACTCTCGTATAAAAGTAACGTGTTTATTCTCAGGATTGTCAAATCTCCACCATTCATAAGTAAAACCTTCAGCGATCATAGCTTGTACCTCATTACGATAAGCTGCCACCAACATAATAATTTCTGGATGTTTTTGAACCTTTTGTACTGTTTGTGAATAAATTCTAACTGTCTCTATAAGACTTACAGCGAAAGGATATACATGCTTAGTGACTTTTGCAAGAGTGTTGATATTATGTAGCACTTGGCAATCCAACCATAATAAATTACGCACTTCTTTAAATAAAGTAATTATTTGTGGGTCAAAGTTTACTTCTAGTTTAAGAATATTTCCTTGAGCACGATTTCGAGTAATTTTAAACAATTTCCCCGTAAAGTTTATATCGCGGCGATTACAAATTTCTGTTTGCCAAGCTTCAAAAATCTAAAGATAAATTTATATGTGTTAACTAAATAGTTGCAGAATATAACTCTAATATTAAAAAAAATATGTATTACCGGTCTAGTATCTAATTTCTTTTTAAAATCGTTACATTCGATTATTAATTTTTGACCTTCTTCAAATGTTTCCCAATCTTTGCCAAAAGCATCCTCAACACGTTTAATGTAAATTTGTAATTGACGCTCAATTTGACGTGCCCAAATAATAAAGCCGGAAATAGAGGGAATATCACGGAGCTGAGACATGTGACTCGCTTCAGATTTACGATATTGTTGAATGAACTTTTCTTTAAGCTTATTTATATCTTTTTTGACAGTGTCAAAAAGTTCTTTTTGATATTCTTGAATAACACCATGAATCTAGCAATTAGACAATATAATTAAGATCACATAATAATAATGACATATAAAAAATGATGTCACAGAATAAATACTTTAGGTCTAACAATCAAAGCACTGAACATGGAAATTACACGAAACATTTCATTTGCATTTTTGCGTATGCCAAGGCGATCTCGTAGATTTGCAATAATTTGATTCTCTACTCTTGAGGCACGTTCGTTATATGTATTTTCTGCTTGTATCAAGATTTTACCGCCCTCAATAGAAACATCTAACACATCAATATCTTTAAAACTTTCATATGCTGATTTTATTTCTTCCATAGACTTGATAGCATTTATAATAACGCCTTCTTCTTGTTGAACTATGTTATTTTCACTTTTGATAACAGTTTTTAAGGCATCCTTTGGCTGGGACATGATTGTAACAATTGTTTGAAGTTGTTCGTGCCGTTTTCTAAAATTCCTAACAAATGCAACACGTTCTTGCAATATATTGTGTGCTGGGTTTATTTTAATTGGGATGAATTTATCAGAACGTTTACGTGTAACATCACGGGATACTGTCGTAAATTCTCTTATGAGCACATCCCAGGTTATAAAAACATCTTCAGCACCTGCTATAACCTTTTCAAATTCATTATAATCCATGTACATCAAACGATGACTATCCAAGACTTTTAATAATACGTCATTAAAATCACGCGAGATTGCTTCAGCAAGAGCAAGCGCTTCTATGATTGGGTATGAACTATTACAAAAAATTAGGAAATAAATTTAATGATTAAACAAATAAATATAAGTGAAAAAATTTTTATAACTAATGCCTACGATAATCTCAATTTCTTTATGAAATGACCAAAGATAACATATAATGCCATTTTAATTTTAACTACGTCATTGGCTGATAGTAATTCATTGAGAGGAAAATCTCTCATTAATATATTATAATTGTGCACTAATATTGAAATGAATAAAATGAATAAATATTATTTATCTAAATAGTAAAGGCAAAAAAATCGTTAGCAATATAAATAAATAAATACCTTTTTCCTTTGCCTCCTTAAATCCGGTATCAGTCATAAAAGATACTGTGGCGTGGAAACGTTTGGCATGTCTGAGAATATCCAATGTCAAAACTATGATGATCAAAATAAAGATAAATAATTATCTATAAATCTAATAAATAAATAAATTACGAATTTTGTTAATATTCATACCAATTGGATCACTTTTAAGCTGTTCATCGATCTCTTCAAGTATTGGTTCCATACTTAACCAGAAATTTATTTCTTTGATAGCAGTGTCTCTAGTGTCGCTTAAAGGATCACGTTGCAATTCAGTTAATTTTTGAATCTTTTTAATCCAACTGTTTACATCACTTTGAATTCTATTCAAAAATTGTGTATCAGAAAGTAATGATTGATCGATAAAGTCAATATTGATCCTCTTGTTTTTTTGTTTACTCTATGCGCAACAATAAGAATAAATAATAAGATTATTATTTTACGACAAAACAGTAGTATAAAGATTATAGTTACCTTTTCAACGGCCTTTCGAATGACTGGATGGATATTAAGTGATATTTCAGGAATTTCACCATATTTTTGCAAATGAGGTAAAGATATATCTAACTCAGCGATCTTTTTTCTTATCATTGAGATATCTTTATATATATATATATATATATATGAAAATTTATTAAAATGCAAAACATATCTTGTTAGAAGCATTAAATAAAGGTTACCCATAATATAATTATCATCATGCATTTTATTGCCCATAACTACCTTCAAAGTAAACGCCTTTAGTATTAACATAAGCATCGAAGTATGGCGTAATAGCATGTTGTATAAAAGAGTGAAAAGCTTTATATGGGCTCACGTTAGCAAATCCCAATTCATTAGTTGCTGGGCCAGGCAAATTTAAAAATTGAATTTGTGATTCTATAGGATAAGCAGGATCTAATTTGGAAAAATGCTTAATAATAACTATTGATGTGACAATATTCGAATTATATGTAATTTCTTGCGAAATATCATATGAGTATGAGACCCAAAATGGATAATCTTCTGTTTAAAAAATAATTTAATTTAATTAAAATCACATACTGAACCTCAAATATATAGTATAATATCAAAAAAAAAAAAGGTAATCTGAAAAGCAGGTTATTATGTGATAAATGAACTGTATCAAATCACCTTTTCTGTCATTCAATAACTTTGTTATATATAAAACGTTAACTAGAGGATCGTTAGCAAACTGACTCAATTTCTCGGTATTTTCTTGAACAGACCACAAAGACCACAAAGAAAAGTTTAAATCCACTTCCTTAGCTCCCAATACTAAAGGAAGGAGTTTATTCAAATATTCTTTAAGTATTGCAGGTTCGTACATTAGTGATGATTCAAAGAATGCAATCCAGTAAGATTTAATCAAGATAATGTAATTGTAATTGATTATATATAAAATTTATAGTTATTTTAGGTCTGATGGTATTACAAAATATAGTTGTACGTAACTTACGAAAAGAGCAAAGAGTCCGGAGTTTAACGTTAATTTGTGCGGTAATATAAGCTTCTAAAAAAGAAATAACCAACGTACATATATGAAAAGGAAATGTGAATATATGAGAAAAAACCGATCTTTAAATCGATATTTCTGTATAATCAAAAAAAAGTGAACATATAATAAATGATGTTTTATTTCTATATAACAATCAAATCTTAAACATTTATTCACAATATGCAAAATCAGAAAACGAAAAATTGGCAATTTAAAATAAAGTCTGTAAATATATTAAATAATAAATAAATAAATAAATAAAAAATAAAGTCTGTATATCGGAATTTATTATCCGTGACTCGAAACTTAAATTTTCTATTATTTGCATAAAGAGAATATTATTCTATTATGGGCAAATCTAAAAGAATGCAAACGAATGTTAGTCCAGTTCATTAATATTTACTTTGAATAAAACTAATTAATTAGGTGTAGAGAAACGCTATCGCGATGAAATTATGAACATACACCAATAACATCTTATTTCTTTAAAGATTTCAATTTTCTTTTTTGTGGCATTCAAATGAATATTTTTGGTAATCTAAAATACAGTATTAAAGAAAAATAGTTATGTAGTGTAACGAGATTAAAATATAAGGTTTCCTGATAGCATACGTATTACATATTTTAGCGATTTATCGTTAATGCATTACGTATCGGAATGAAATTGTGGCTCAGAAAGTATATCACGGTTACACGAAAACAGAATCCAATTCTGCAATTAGTAATATATCATGTGCAAAACTTACGATTTTTGGGGTCGGAAAAATATCGATCTATATAGATTGATATAAATCGATAATTTTATAGTGAAATCGAATTTTTAATGCAGTGTAACATACTAAATTTAGGCAAAGCTAAGTGTAATAATTTTTTGGCCAGGAGGAATAAATTTGGGATTGGGCGCATAATTTTCTGAATAGAAAGTCATTAAACGTAAAGTTCCGAAATTGGCCAATCCGATAAATATGTAGCAGAAGTCACGTTATATCAAAAGGCGCAATATGATTGGCAGAAAAGGGAAAATCAATATAAATCGATATTTTTGACGTTATTGATAGTGATTTTTGCCCAAGTAATATCGATCTTTTTCCGGGGTCGTCTAAAGCGGAGCATCTATGAGCACGTACCAGGTCACGTGAGTTTGTACGTACAAGATAATCACGTGACAAATCGTACGAAAAACAAGATTGTCATTAAACTTGAACGAAGATATATTAATAACCATTTAGCAAAATCAATGATTTTTTTTATTTTAATTCTACCAGTTCATACATTTTAAATAAAAAAAAAATTCATCAATTTTGAATAGGTGGTTATCGAGATATCTTTGTTCAAATTTTGGAAAAATTTAAACGTCCATCAAAACAGAAGTTTATACAAATTTGAACGAAGGTATCTCGATAACCATCTATTCAAAATCGATGAAAATGTTTTTATTTAAAATGTATGGATTGGTAGAATTAAAATAAAAAAAACCATCGATTTTGTTAAGTGGTTATCGAGATATATTTCATTCAAAGTTTGGAAAAATTTTAGATGACTATCAAAATCGAAGTCATAGTGAAGTTTTTTTCAAACTTTGAACGAAGATATCTCAATAACCACCTATTCAAAATCGATGAAATTTTTTTTATTTTAAAATGTGTGAATTGTTAGAAATAAAATTAAAAAAATTCATCAATTTTGCATAAGTGGTTATCGAGATAACTTTGTTCAAAATTTGAAAAATTTTTAGATGATTATCAAAACAGAAGTCATGTAAAGTTTTTTTCAAACTTTAAACGAAGGTATTTTGATAACTACTTATTCAAAATCGATAAAAATTTTTTTATTTAAAATGTAGGGATGTATAATTTAAAATAAAAAATAATTATAAATTTTAAATAAGTAGTTATAGAGATATCTTTGTTCAAAGTTTAGAAAATTTTAGATAAAGTTATTTCAATTTAATTCAGTGGTTTATATTACTCCTCTCTCTTCTTCTTCCCCTCTCCCTCCTAGTAAAAACAAAATTTTTATAAATAACATAAGGATTACAGATCATTTTAAAAAAATTTTATATTGAACAGAACATTTCAGAAAAAAATTTTTCTAAAAAAAAAAATTTTTAAAAATTTTACTATTTAAATTCTTTTTTCACCTTCTTCTCTCACCTTCTCTTTTAAAGTAGAGATATAATATAAACTACTGAATTAAATTGAGGTAGCCTAACTATCAAAACAAAGTCAAGATAAATTTTTGAATAAAGGTATCTTGATAACTACCTATTAAAAATTAATAAATTTTTTTTATTTAAAATGTATAGATTAGTAGAATTAAAGTAAAAAAAATATCAATTTAGCATAAGTAGTTATATAGATATATTTGTTCAAAGTTTAATAAAACTCAATAATAATTACTTTTTTATATATTTTGTCATGTAATTATTTGGTATAGGCAAAATCACATGATCTGGTATATTATAAAAGGCTTTGAGGCATCAACGATCTATATATTTTTATTATTATTTTTTGTTTTATATATAGTACTATTTTTATTTTTAGTTAGTTATTATAAAACTTGAAAGTTAGAATAGTTTAAGTAAAAATCAATATATTACAAATTCATCATATTTCTAGAATTCTTATAATTCTCAAAATTCAAAGAAAAATAATAATAGTAAGAAAAATAAATATAGTAAGAAAAATTAGAAATAAAAATTTTTGTTAGTTCATTATATATAAAGAAAGTATATATAAATAATATAAATTATCTTGAATAAAAATTAACTTATAGAGTTTAAAAAAAAATTCTAAGTCTTGAATAGTTTTAAAGTATTTATTTTTAAATAAATCTCTTTTTAAATTATTATAAATTGCTTTATCAAATTATTAGTCTTTCAAAAATTACTAATACTCTTTCTAATGATCTTTTTTTCTAAAAATTCGAAAAAGCAAAAAACAAAAATTTATTATAGAAAGATAAAGAAGTTTCTTTTACAATACAATAGTTTTTATAGAGGTCAACTGCTTACTCTCAGAAA